TGTACAGCAAAAGCTCTGTCATCTGGCACCCATGGGGAATGGGGGTGGGGGGAGAGGGTGTACCAGATAACCAAATATGCCAGTTACCTGAGAGGCGCCTTTGCCTGGTTGGGCAAAGACGCCATGTCCGGTGCATCCACATCTCAGATTAACTGTGCCGCCCCTCCCCTGGTGTCAGTGTGCCGGGGGGGGGGTGGGGGGGTGGCTTTACGCAGGCTGCTTTCCCCTGGGCTGCAGTCTGAAGTGGGATTTGGTGAAACCAGAAGTCCCACTTCTGGTTTTGCTCTTGCTGTGTCGACCGGCGTCAACCGGCATGCCAGTTAATAGATCATGCTGGTCAATGAAGTGCCAGATAATGCAGCTTTTACTGTATATCGATCCAGGAGCTTTGGTACAGTTTCTCCCTGGCAGCAGATGGAGACATCTATCTTAATAACATGACTTAGTCACAATTTTTTTCAGTTCACTTGTTATCTAAACTGAATAAAGCTAATGAGAGAGTCTAGTTGGAAATAGATTATATGGAAGCAAGACAGCTTAATAAGTAAGAAACATTCATTATCATCAGCCTGGAACCTGCAAACTACTGTTTTTTCTTGCATGCTGCACACCTTGTTTTTGAAAGGCAGAATGTAGGGGAATTTTTTTTTGTTCCAGATTAATGGCAGACTGTGAGACCTAATGTAAATCCTCCTGAGAACAGTGTGTCCAGGAAGTATGGCATCAGGAAGTTCCTGGTGTCAGCTGCCTTGCTCAGATCGTCTCCTGGGATGCCACACTTCCTGGACACACTGTTTTCAGGAGGACTTACTCAGTCATGCAAGATTAAGTGCTGAACCCTTGCAAGGACAGCAGCAAATCTGTTAGTTCTTTATTATAAGTAGTACTTTATATAAGTTCCTGTAAATAAAATGTTTCTATATCACAAACTTCATCAAGATACTGCCAGCAGCTCATTTGCTGTTTCAGGTACAAGCTGCAGTGCTCAGTCAATAGTTATGCCTGTGAAAGGGTTAACATAGAACTCTTAGGTCTTGGCAGCTGCATGAGATATACAGGGGTCCAGGTTTGCTTTTTTCCAGTGAAGAAACCGCTTCCCCAATTTGGGGCAGGGGACACTGATTTTTTCAGAGGGAAAGGTACATGTTATATGTGAGAAAATACAGTAATTCTTGTATGACACAAGTATTTAAAAGCTGCCATTAACACACTTTCCCTAAATACTGTATCACTCAGTGATTATGCATTGATTCTGTAGTGACTGGCAAAGGTAAATAACGAACACTACCTGTCACCTTAAAGAAAAGAGAAATCCACAGAATATGGATGTATTCCTTAATTAGACCATTATTTTGAATACCATAAAACTGAGTTTTACACACTGAGTAGCATCCATGAATCCTAGCTGACAATGGCTGTGTGACCAGGATTCACTTAATTTCATCCACTGTTTGGATTACCAGTTTCATTAGTACCAAATACCAATGAGGAGTGCAACATGAAGACTGATCCATTACTCTCCATTGTTGATGGGTACAACAGTGTCTTTCAAGAACCTTGGAAACAACTTGTTTGCATGTTCATTCTTGGTTAATCCAGTTCCTCCCTTGGGTTGTCAGAGGGGGCAAGCTTTTCAAATATCTAGTATCTCTCTAACGTCATTTTCCTTCTAAAGCTTAGGATTGGAGCAAACCCCTGGCTGATGTCATTGCTGTCTGCACATTAGAATATTGGAACATCTTCAGTGCCCATCACCAGAAATGGAGCTTGTTCTGAAAGCTGAGCAGGCTAGGTTTTGAGTCTAGAATACCTATGAACTAGTTCTGGTACTGACTATTTACATCAAATGGTTTTCAACAGAACTTTAACATAAGATCCTTATTTCTGGACTAGATGACTGCTTACGACAATGAGCCAACCCTTTTCACAGACGTGCCACAAATTCAGCCCAGTACCTTCCCCAAGTGCCAGCCCAGTCCCCTTCCCCTACCTGATCTGCTGCTCTGCTTTCTGGGCTATCTGCTGCTGTTCTGCCTGCCCTCTCCTTGATTTGCCAGGTGTCACACAAGCAGGCAGTGCCACTTGTGGCATATGTTAACCACCTCTGGTTTACAGCATGGCTTGGCACAGTGAGTATTGGATTTAAAAAGCAGTCCCGGGATCTGCGAGGATGAGCGATAAATGTTACTAAACTTCTTCCTTGTAACAGATGGTTTAGGATGCATGGGATGGGGTGGGAGGTGGGAGTGCATAGAGACAAGTCAGAAACCGTCCACGGGGCCCTGTGGTGTAACAGAGTGCACCTCCAGGGGTCGTTGTGATGCTTTTTGCTGCCTGTGCAACACCTGTCTGCCTACTCTGAGTCCATAATATAGCTCCTCTCTCCTTCCTGACTTGCCCTGGTGTTATATAGGTAGTATTTTTAGGAGGGAGCCTTGTAGCTGGCATATAGTTGAGGGTGTCTTGCCTAGTCTTCTCTTTCTCTAGCTACTGACCTGCCTGGGTAGTATGGGGATGCTTTTCTGTCCCTCATTCTCTCCCTGTCTTTGGGTGGGGCTTCAACCCTGTTGGGTGCCAGCCCACCTGACTCCAGTTAGATCCTGTGGCCCCTCTGGAGCTTCACCCCCCCCCCCCCTCCGACCTTCACCTGACGGAGGGAGCTGTCCACCACCCTACTTGAGGCCACTACAGAATATTAGGAAAGGATTAATGTACAAAAGGGGAAATTTTTGTGGGGTGCAGAGTGTTCTGCAGCCTCCATAGTTCCCTGGATGCACTCAATCCACAGGGCCCATCTGGAGTTTAAACAGTCTTCCGTGCTCTGCCCGCCTTTGCTTCCACTCTCCTAGGGTCCCTCCTGAGTCCATGTAGCAGAAAAGTTCTCAGTCCTCTGTGCCCCTTGGGCTCTCAGGGTAGGAACAGAAGTTACACATAAACCAGTTTAAGTGATCAGAAACTGGTTTAAACCTGTAGCAGAACAGAAGCTCAGTGCACATAAGCCAGTTTCAAAATGGCTGGAACTGATTTAAGATAAACTGGTTGAATGTAGTATAGGACTTAACTGATTTGGGTCAGAGTTTATGAAACTTCTGTCTCAGGCCCCTTCCTGGTTCAAATTAAATCACAGTCTCCCAGCAAGCTTTCCATCCCTGGGCTGGGCTGTTGTCTATGAAAGAGAGAGAGTAGGACTGGCCCTACCTCTCTTATCCTTAGCTGGAGTAGAGAAGGCTGGCTGACCGGGGTGGGGGGGCAAGTCTAGCTGGGGTATAGCCTAGTCTACAGGGGGGACTTCCCCCTAGGCAAACCATGGCTGGGGGCTGGGGCCAGGGAGGAGGATTAAACACTCCTTCCTGCACTCAAATTTACTGCTGGCTGCAACTATAGACTACAGATCCCAGAGGCACCTGGAAGCAGGAAGAGGAAATGATCAGCAACCCTGCAGAGTCCTGGTGCTTTAGTTCTGGACTACAAATCCCAGAGACAGCAAGGGCAGCAGGAAGAGGAAATGAACACAGCCAGGTGCTACCAATCTTTCACCTTACCTTCCAGCTCTTGTCTTCTGCAGCCAGCTAACTGCAAGCTGGATTTTGCAGAACAAAGGTGATGGGGTTGGGAGATGCGCTGTGCTCCAAACCCATCTGGCCTATCTGGTGGGGGGGTTCCCTGCCCTTACCTGCAGTTGGTTTCTGCCCCTATGGCTGGATTGTCAGCGCTCCCACTTCTGCAGGCAACCAACCCCCTCCCTCTGCTACAAAATTTCTGGCCTTAAAGGGATTCTGCTGCTTTTCCTCACCTGGCTGGCCCTCTCTTCTCCAGAACAGGCTAGGGTTGCCTGTTGCAGGCACATTTGTGGCATTTAGCTGGAACATGAATGACCTCTTATTCTGTTTCTTGTAATAGTTCACCTATACAGACAGTATCTACCTTAAACAGCTCAGTCGTTCTGGATTAACATTGTAGATGCCCACTGAAATGTTATTGTGGCCAAGCTTTTTGCATGCTGCAGTGTCTTCACTGGAGTTCAAAGCAGTGCCAAGTAAATTCTATCTATAGTGCTTCTGCTGCCCACAGAGTACATGTAACCCTAAATGGACAATGCTTAAAACGTAAGTCATATTCGGTATACCTCAGTATGACACTGGGTCAAAGTCTGACCTTTTTAACACTCTGAGAAAATAGCTGCCAAAGCTAAAACACCCATCTCCTCAACAAATTAGTTGGCTCAGCATAGGCCACATGCTCATACATGCCAAATGTTCTCATTCACCATCTGCTACTCAATTGCACAATGTTGTGCACCAGCCCAGTGTCACTCGTCTCACAATTCTGATATGCAGCTCCAATTCAATCAAACACATCATGTCAGGAACAGGGCATCTTACTTTATGTCTATGGTTGCTGACATCGAACAACATAGCACCACTCCAGAACCGAAGTGAAGATGGAACTCCAGATGTTGAAGATCTATGACAGTCCTGATTTTTGACTCTGTATGGGTCTCTTTAGTGCTCCTGCTGTTCACTTGCCATGGAAATGGCTTCTGTAGTTCTGTCTGCTGTACACTGTGCCAGGACACCATAGAATCATACTGTTGATAGGGAGACAAGGTTCCTTGGGTGAATTTGATATCTTTTATTAGACCAACCCAAATGGGTGGAGAATTGGATATTAAGCAAGCTTTCGGGTTCAAAAACCCTTTGTCAGGCTAAGGAAGCTTCAGCAGTTGGTGTGCGCTCTTCCTGGATGAAATGAAAAGTAAACAAGCCAGGGGCTGGGCTGGGCTGGGATGGGGAGTCAGTTGCCAGGCAGATTATTTTTATTGATAAAAACATTTCTTATCACCATCCTACCAGCTGCTGTTTTGAACAGGTTCTGGGCTGCCCGAGGTCAGCATGTAGTCAGTCTTCACAGATGGAGCCAGTGTGACACAATGCATGGGATGGGAGCTGCAAGCAAACATGATGATGTAAATTGTTGACAGTTGTTCTCTGTCATGACAGTTTCAGAGTTATCACCAGTGAAGCAGCTGTCATTTGGAAAGGAACATTTGCAAGGTAGTCAACCTTAGTTGAAATACATCAGTGGACAAGACAGTTTGAGCATAAGTTAACATTCCTGATTGGAAAATACTAATTGGGTTGGGCATAATTTGTTGACGCTTTGAGTGGTACTAAAATGGGAACACAAAACAGGGGTGGGCAAAATTTGGCCCATGGGCTGGATCCGCCAGGTGACTAGATCCAGCCCACAGCTGCCCCCACAGCACCCTACAAGGGCCCAAGCCCTGCACACTTGAGAAGCTCATGCTAGGCTTGTGCCGGAGTGGCCCATGCTAGGTTCCTGCTGGTGCCTATGGCCCAACCCTGGCCAGCACGCACAACTTCCAGCAGGGCTGTTCCTGGTGTAGCTGTAGCCAGCTGGGTGTTGCTCTGCTCCCCCCACCTTCAGTGGCAGCTTCTGTTTCTGATCTTGCCCCTGTTGTGTCACATTGCTCTGGGTAAGTGGGTGGGCAACTTCTTCAGCCAGGCAGATCCTTTCCCAGCACTCAGGGCTCTGGCTTCTGCTCCTGGCTGCCTTCCACTGGCCAGGAGCCAAAGCCAGAGCCCTATGTGTTGGGGCAGGAGCTGCCTGGCTGAAGCTGTACACCTGCTGGGAGTGGTGCAGCAGGAGCCACCACAGGAGGCTGGGGGCGCAGAGTAACACCTGTCTGGCTGCGGTTCAAGGGAACAACCCTGCTGGAAGCTGCTATTGCCCCTGCTGCACCATGCTGTGCCATTCCAGGCAGGTGGGCAGGCAGCTTCAGCCAGGCAGCTCTTGCCCTAGCGCATAGGGCTTTAGCTTCAGCTCCTGGCTGCCTTCCCAGGAGCTGGAGCCCTGCACACTGGGGCAGGATCCGCCCAGCTGAAGCTGCCCACCTGCTGTGGTATGTTGGGGCAGGGGCAAGATCAGGAGCAGGAGCTGCTGGGGGTGGGGAGGACGGATGGACACCGACAGAGCAGCAGATGGTTGACTGCAGTCAAACCAGGCACAGCCTTACTGGAAGCTGCTCGGTGTGACAGGAGCAGGAGCTGCCATTGGAAGCTGGGGAAGCAGAAGAGTGACTGAGCTTTGGGTGCCAGTAGGAGTGTGGCAAGGGCTGATCCAGTGTGAGCGCCACAAGGGCAGAGCAGTCAAGCTCTGCTGTATATGCCCCCTTGCCCTCCCTCCCTCCCTTTCCTCACCATGGCAGGCTTCTGAGATCTAGCTCCCAGGATCTAGCACCCAGGCAACCCCACCTCCCCATTCCCCAAACACATGAACATGACCCCCCACATCCCTCTCCATGTTCCCCCGCTCCCTCCCCCAGAGGGCAGGGACATCTAGGGACTGGCTCCAGGTCCCAGGCCCCTTGGCCAGAGCTGTCACTACCCCACAACCTAGCCATGTGATCCCAGCCTTGCCTTTCCCTCCCTCTCCTGAATGCTGTTTCCCTGCTTGCCTGCAGCCCCATAGGGAGTTTTGGCGAGTTGAGGGGGGATGGGACACAGCAGCCTCTTGCAGGCTGGAATGCTGCCAGCCTGCAAAGGGAAACTCATGGTTTCCCACATTTTAAATCCTGGATTTTCTGTGATCTGGTGCTGGCAGGACATGGGGTTGGAGTGGCTTTGCAGCCTGGCTTATCTCCTCCACTCCAGGGGCTGGCAGGAGAAGCCTTGGGGGCAGTCACAGGAATATGGAACTCCTCAGGAACAGTTTCTGGTCTGGGACATAGCTGGGGCTGCTAGATCAGAGAACAGCAAAGTACTATATGACAATTCAAACCTTATAAACTTCAAAAAGAAAGCCGGCATATTTCACCTTACTGTTAGCAGCACTCAACTTTTACCACAGTCTCGTCATTGCCAAGAAGAGGCTAAATCAGTGCTGAGGCAACTAGTAGGGCCAAGACTTCTAAAATTCTGCAGTTCCTGTGGACAGGATGTTCCACCATTACGATCCTCTGTGGGGTTCCTTTGTGTTGAATCTGATTTGTCCAGAGACCATGGGTTAGGGTCCCTTCTTACAAGGCCACAAATCCTCTTGCTAAGAGGAGAATACAGTAGCAACTCTGACACCTGTCTGAGAGAGATTTTTCAGTAACTTTAACCTGAAGGGACAGTATTTGGTCTTATGTAATTATCCCTTAAAATCACTGTATTAATTCTCTGCAGCTCTCTTTAAATAAAACTTTTTCATGATGCCTAGTCGGTTATAAAAATTATACTTTTTTTCTCCAGATATTTTACCTAAGAATAATATAATGGAGAGAAAATAGATTTTTTTTGCTTCATTCCCAATTGTTTGTTTTGTGCTTTTTAGATGTGTTTTGTAGATGACCAGTTTCACTATTTTTGGATTAATTTAACTTCCTCTAATCTTGCATTAGGGTGATGGTAATATGTTCATGCATAGTATTATGGGAATGCAGGTACATCTTCTCCAAGTCCCACAAAGTGTTTTCCAGTACAGCAGCAACAGAATTGCTGCAGTGTAAGTGTTTTCTGCTCACATCTGTAGGATGTCTGAGTAGCACAAGAAGCCATGCAGGGAGAGATGGGAAGAATAGTGAAGAGCTGAATTGAAACTTAGCAGGAGGCTGGATCAAGAAAGGAAAAGAAGCTTGATAGCAGTGATAGCTGTTTCCCAGAGGTTTGTGCGTAGCAGAGGACTCCAACTGAATCTTACTTTGCTGAGTACATTCCTCTGCTATATATGTATGCATCTTTCCCAAACAGCAGAGCAGAAAAATGCATTGAAATTAAACAGGGAAACCAGTTTCTAAAGTGGACAAAAATTGTAAGTGGGCTTGAGGATATTTGAACATTATTAAATCGTAAGGGATATGTAGTTATCAGCTTGCCTTCTTTTGCTGAAGTCAGGAAGAAGGTTGGGCAGGGTGGCACCTTAAAGACTACCTGGTTCAGAGAAGCATAAACTTTTGTAAGCAACATTCTATTTTGTCAGATGCAAGACTTTGAAGAACAGGGATCCAGGTTATCTGTTTCTCCCGGACAAATGTGGATTTCCCCCCCACCCCAAGAGAAAAATGGATTGTCCCCTTTTGAAGGAGGAAACTGCGGGTTTACCTTTGCACGCTGGCAGAGTTCCAGCCTGGAACAAGCTGCTTGGGGCTGGAGACAGTGGGGGAAGGGCTATCCAAGGCAGGGGGTGTCATGTGCACATGTGTGTGGCCAGCAATACAACCAAGGAGGTGG